TTGATCTTTTTCTTCATTTATTCATTTCTCTTAAATTTTTTACCCTCTAATACGTCATTTCCGTGAAAAGAACCTCAATTTTTGTTGATAACAAATCATCATATCAGTTTATCTGTATTCTAAATAAAATTTAGCTCGATATTTTAAACACTCATTAATTGATCATTAGATTCAAATAAAATGATATGATTTTGATAATTTAATAACAAGAAAAAAAGCAACAGAAAAAATCTGCGATCATTTATGGCAGAATATTTTCAGTTTCTAATTTCAGAATTATGTTATGGAGATTATGATATGAAACAAATCGGATCGGATATTTATTGCTATAGAATACATGCATTCGACAGATTTGTTAGTCCTTTAATTATTACACTCATCGTTTCAAATTAGATAATTCATTGAAACATATAATGTTAATTGTCTTCTGGTTTGTACGTCATATTAAATTATCAATAAAATTGAATTTACAAATATCTTTTCATGCAAATTACATTCAGCGTTAAAATATCCATTCACCATAATATTGCATTTTTTTTTTCTTTCCAACTAATAGCTTACTAGCTTTTATCAATTCCTCTTCTTTTTTTCTTTTTTTTTGTTTCATAAAATTTATCTGATCCATAATTTTAATGTGTAATTAATAATAGTTGCCTATATCAGGCTAATTTAAATAAACTATTTCATTTTATTTCAACTCAATGAAAATGCTACTTTTTTGTTAGATAAGCTGCGAAATGTAACGAAATACTCGAAACTTTGAAATTGAAAAGCTATACCTGGTAAAATTGTTTAAACTAAACCAAACTGTACCAATGATTTTTAAAGGATTTGCCATATCTTGACAAGTATTTCAATACAACAGAGGGAGATGAAAATTATTGTCGTTATACTACAGAACATATTAATATGGTGAGTCATAGCGTTTCAATACGCACTAAAAAGGAATATGAATACGTCAAAGCGCAATATCGAGGTATTTCATTTCAATTCAATCATTTTATCATTCATTTTTTACTTACAAACAGGCAAAACCATCTGTTTCATTTTCTTTTTTCTTTTTTTTTTTGTTCAATTTTTTAGTAAAATTTTTTTTTCAATTCTGCAGCATAAAATATCAAGCAAATAGTCTCTTTTAATTTCAAGAAATCAAACGTCAAAAAAAAAAATTATTTCTTACAAATTTACAATATTAATATCCAGTCAAAATATGATTAGCAAATCGAGAA